AAGATTCCTCAGTGTGGGATGATGGGGTCAACACAGGATGAAGATGGAGGATGGAAACGAGTGAATAATGAAACAAAGACATTTGAAGGTGTTACGTCTTACAGGCTTTGTAAAATACCCTTTTCATAGCAGACACTTGGCAGACTAGCAGTAAGGGGGGGAGATACAGGATAGGTTAAGATGTGAGGGCAAGATGGTTAATGAAGAGAAGCACAGGTTTACTTTTTGCCCCACAACACTTATTTTACCAGCTATAATTAGGTATACCTGTGGTTGTTTTGTATACAAAATGATTGTTAAAAAAACAATGCATTGTTATTGATCAAACAACAGTCTATGAAGTAGATATCATTTGCTCCATCCCAGCTGCAACATGTAAAACAAAACAAAAAAAAACAAAAATGAAAGTAGTTTTACTTACACTGTAGTATATTTGACATATAAAAAAGATAATAGAATTAAATAAATATATGAATAAAATAAAGATTTTATTTTTAAAACATATCTTTTTTCAATATGTTTTGTCTGCTTTCTTTTGCCTTATTGCCTCCTGGAATGTTTTTAATATTTAGGCACTTTGTGACTTTGTTTTTGAAAAGTGCTGTATAAATAAAGTATATTATTAGTAATATTATTAAATAAAACCAACTGGCATTATATTGTTTGTGGGGATATCAGTATACAGTTGGAATGTGTTTTAGGAATTAAATGAGTTATACTGGTTAAAGTAAAAGTTCCCCTCCACTGGAAAGCTTGTTTTTCTTGTTCCTTCAGTTGGATGTTTGATGTCCACTGTGCAGAATGCTGTCTGTGCAGAGTTTGACTCTAAAAGGATGTTTTCACATTCATCTGCTCAAAGTGGAAAGTTTCTCTGTGCTCATTAACTCCAGGATACAACTTAAAACTGTGATGTAGAAACTTGAAGTGCATATCCACTGAGAATGGACATTTCAAATGAGGTAGATGGAGTAGATGACTTTGAGGTCTTTAATGTGGAAATTATTATTTTGTTTGGGAGGGGGCTATAAAAATATAATCTATTTGTATATGTTATAATACAAATACCACATGCATGTATAATTTATTTTAATTTAATTTGTATTATTATTATAAATTGTTATAATGGACTGTATGGTATCATGATGATGACTACGATTGTAAAATCCATACATATAATTGTAAATAAATATCCCGCCTGTCTGTCATAGATGTATTTAGTCTGTCTCATCGTCGTCGTCATCATCATCGTCGCTAACGCCCCTCAGTGGAGGCCGCTGACTGGTCGGCACTGTGCCCCCTCCTCCTCCTCCCGTCCTGCCGAGCAAACAGTTTCTCAACAGCGGCTTTATCTTATCATTTATCGGGGGTCTGGGCCGGAGAGGACGCTATGTAACCGGGTTAAATTGACGTCACAGGCTGAGGAGAAACGGTTGTTGTCTTTTGCGGTCCCATTTTGAAGGTGTGTAAAGCGAAAGCCTGCCCCTTCCCCCGCCTGCAGGCAAACGGCAGGAAGGCAGAGAGCAGCAGTCAGTCGTTGGTGTTGTTTTGAACAGGCTCTCTGCTGAGAGACAACTTCTGTGGAGTTCAAAACACTGAGCTAACTTCACCGGTAGCTTCACATAAAACAGCGCGACGAACGACGCTAAAGGACGGTACAGCGCTCCTCGTAGCCGCCCGTTGTGAGGCTGGTAACGTTAGCTTGATCAATATGGTGACTTTATCATCGGCTATAAGACCTCTGGCTTCCCAGCTTCACCGACAGCTCGTCAGACACGTCAAGAGTCACCGGATAACGCCTGTCAGGAGATGCAACCTCACGGCGTGCTCCAGCAAATATGTGCTGTCTCAGAGTAAGTACTTGTGCAAAGCGTGTGTGATAACGTTAGTACACAATGGTTCTCGTCCATCCAGCGTGTCCACACAGCTGCTCACTACCGCACAGCTTCAGAGGGAGAGCAGTTTAATGTCGGACATTACCGCCAACTGTGGCAGTGGTTTGGTTTTGGGTCTCATTGTGGCTCTAAGGCCTTTCATTGTGGGTCACACAGCATCAGTTAATGGTCACTTTTGTTGTCATTGAGAAACGTGTATCAGGAGCAGTGGAAAGCTCGGACTGGACTTTCCTCATCACTGGATCTGGATCAACGCTGCTCTGTTGACTCAGCTGTGTTTGAGAGTGGCCCCGGGCTCCAGGGTTTCCCAACAGGTATCGATATCCCTGATCGCTGTCCCATATAGGGGCCATTTGAAGCCCTTTGACCTAGATAGGAGCCTGTATGTTGAGTCACCAGCTCCATTGTTTTCAAATGTAGAGCCACAGTACTACCACTGTCTGTATCCTTATTGACAATTGTTATTCACATGTTTCTGGCTATAGATCATGTGATAGACAATGCATCAAATGTTAAAATTCTAAAATCCTAATAGTGCATGTATAGGATGCACTATCCACTATACTGTACCTACTTGAAGAACATCTACCTCCTTTGCGTGTTAGACCTCTGGTATGAGTAATATTCGAGACACCCAAGCTCCTCTAACAGGTTCCAACAACTTCCTCCCCACACCCAGTAACATGAGCCTTGTCTTGTTCACCATCTCATGCAAACTAAAACCACAGAATCAACATGCAAAAAAAAACATTTGGAAAAATAGCCCAGTGCAGTTAAGCTTTTATGCTCAACCATTATAATAAACAGAGTTCATATTTAACTTTAACAAGCCTGTTGTACTGGGCACTGTCTGTCCAACGTTTTATGACAGGGCTTTTGGTTTGGCTTTGATGTGGTTCACTAGAAATTAGGTTTCATGCCAGTGCACTGGCCTGCCCTTTGATGCTCTGGTGCTATTTTTCTTCAAAAACAGCAATTTGTGCTATTGCCACTCCTCAGGTAAAAAAACCCCACACCAGACTCACAGGAAAGTGATGCAATCTGTGCTTCCTTGAAGTAGTAAGTAGTGTAAAATTGAGAGTTATGTTTCCTATGTTGAACCTCTCAGGCACAACTTCAGAGAGGGCACAAATCATAACTCTTAAGAGATTGTGAGGGTTGATACACACCCAGTAAGGAAGTGCTGCCTGACAACGGTCACTCGAAGAGGAAAAGACCCTTAAAGTAGTGGTGCCCAAAGTGGGTGCCTTCAAGAGTAGCATTTTATATTATTATAACACATCAGCCTCATCGTCATATTACGTTTGCAAATGTATCTAAATGGAAGAATAAACCTCTATTCACCATATTAAACACTGCTGACACTTTCAGTCCCAGGCCGGAAACTGTGTTTGAGTGCTACTTCCAGTTATTTACCTCTCAAACTCTCTTATTAGCTTCAAATATGGATGTATTGCATGTATTATAAAATTGTTACAATTGCATTTGTAGAATTTTGGCAACAGTGTCATAACCAATAAATAAGATCAATCACCAATAAAGGAAAACAACAATTTACTCAAGGTAAGGGTTCACTCAAGTGAAAGCATACCACTGACCTTTCTGACTTCATGGGGTCAAAGGTCAACTACATTTGACCCCAACTCCTAGAATGTGAATAGTTCACTAAAGTATCATAACTAGCTACAAATATCATAACTAATAACATAATTCAATTAAGCCTTAACAGTCCTATTTTCTCTGACTGTAGGAGGAATCGGACACAACCAACAACAGTATCTATTGGTGGTCAGAGCATCTCGGTGTGAAAAGAGAAGCAGATGTATTCTTTATAATGGCCAGCGTGGGGCGACTGGACTGGCTCCAAAAAGAAGTCTGATTGTCTTTAACCTAAGAGCAGACCCTGCTTCTCACCTGAATAATTACCTGAGTGAAGTAGATGATAAAGCAGGGTATGCTTTAGGGCGGGGCTACCTTGTGATTGACAGTTCATTCTCAGTGAGTCTGTCCAGTTCAACACTCATCAAATATGAATCAAGATTCTGTTTCTGCGCTGCCTATATTGTTGTAGTGTACTGTTTATCTGTAATATGAGAACGTGTGTGACCAGTGAGGGTGCCATTTTTGCTGCTTCAACACGAAGCCAAAACCAAACGCAGCCCAACCATTACATTACATTACCCAACATAAATATTGTCATTTCTGGCTTCAAAAAAACAAGATGGCCGACGGCCATAACTCTAAACTCAAGCCTTCAAATCGGTGGTCCACAAACCTCTGGCTCAACTGTTGCTTTATTCTAACTTCTCCTCAGGTTTCTTGCCCCGTTGGAGTTTGTTGGTGATGCTGCCATGTTTCCAGATCCCCGCTCTATACAGCCGATCTCAAGTTTCTATAAACTGAAATTGTCCTTTGAAGGGTCAGTTAACCCAAAATACACAAACATATATTTTACCTCCTCCTCCCTGTGATATCTAGTCATGCTGATAGTTTCAGGCTTCTCTTTCAAGGAAATCAACAATTTCTCTGGATAACCTACAGTCTCACATCACCATCAGCAGTTTTGATCCGGTCGACAGTAGACATCATTTCCAATGAAAAATGTGGAAGATGTTGACTAATCTTTTGATGTTCCACTGTTTTAGCCTATTTACCTCAAATCATTCATTAGGGTTGACTGATTATGTAAGGCATACAGCAGTGCTTCAGATTAGATTTGGGTGTCGGGTAACGTTAAAAGACTCACCCAACCTACAGCTTACTTTCTAATTTGCCAGATATTCTGCTGTTGTGATGTCAGCTATAGTTGCAGGAGAGTTGTGAGTATCGCTGTTCGGAGCGGATGTGTTGGCTCTGGTAAACTGTGTCGTCCTCTGCATGTTAGCTACCATTAGCTACATTACTTGCTGTGTTGTTGACTTCACTATATTATGGTAATAGTCATGCTGTTGGATTTCGCTTCCCCCACCTTTAACTGGTAGGGATTCAGTGTTTGCACAAGGCATGCCTCTGCAGGACAGATCTATATTATTGGACTTAAATCTGTGTCAGGTTAAGGAGGCCATTATATCCTCACCAGGCCATTTATGTTCACTACTCTGTGGATGCAGAAGACTCAGCTGGCAGAACTCTTCATACACACACGTCATATTCTGATTCAGGACAGCTGGTCGACATGTGACACTTTCAGGAGCACTGCAGAGTGACACAGTGGCACTGACGAACCTCGAATCAGAACAACCTCACAGCTTACAATTACCCAGTGAATGAGCACCAATGGCTATGCAAGCAGTTATTGTGTGTACGTGCAATAACAGAGTCAGGCAGCCAACTCCCCCAGGAGGAGCCGCTGAAATCCGATGTAGATGAAGGTCATCTCCCAGTCAGACCTGTTCAACTCGGCTCTCAGCGGAAACCTCGAGCCCTGTGCTGGATGAATGGAGAGGAAAACAATAGACTGCGCTGCTTTTGTGCCCTTTGACAACTACACCTGACTGCTTTTCTATAGATCTTGATCCGGAGAGGGATCACAGAATCTTTTTAACTTTTTGATTTTTATAAGTGGAAGATTAATAAGTGAATGAATGTGTTTTGAGTGGATTTCCAGGGTAAAGGAAAATAAGAAGGAGGGAGGTGGGGAAAGTGAGCAGAGTTTGGGGTAATTAGAAGTCAGGTCCGTTGACAGAAGTTGGCCTGAGCTGGCGGTTTGACCGGCCAGAGGTCCTGGTCTGATTCCCCCGCTGTGGAGGGGAGCTGGGGGCGTGCCAGGACATTCCGCGTGTCACTTTCTGTACAGCCAGCCCACTTCTCTCTTTTTGCAATTTCCTTTAAGGAAAAAAAAAAAAGTAGAGAGCTAGAAGGAAGTACTATTGCTCACTTGCTCCTTTTCCATTCAGTTCCTTAAAACAGCTCTAGGAAGAAGGACTGTGTGTGTACCTAGCACTGTTCAAACACTACGTTTGAATTATTTTTATGAGGCACCTTTTGATTTTATCCCCTCAAAATGGACTGTCTAAAAATGCAGCAAGCAGCAGAGCACAACATGAAAAGTAGGTGTCAGCATTTTTTTGTTTTTGTTTCTTTTTTTATTTTTTTTACCCTTGGGCAGCAGACGCAGCAACTTCTGTCTGTTTTAAAAATTCTCTGACTTTTTCACTCTGATTTCCTCCCTCTCCTCCTCCTCCTCTTCCTTCTTCTTCTTCTCCTCTTCATCCTCTCCTCTCCTCCAGTGCATCCCATGTGGCAGGGACCCCTCGCGGTACCAGGAGGTGATCGTCAGTCTCCCATCGACATTGTTGTGCGAAAGAGCGTCTTCGACTCAGAGCTGAAGCCTCTGGTCACCGATTACGACCCGCAGACCTGCCAACAAATCTGGAACAACGGTTACTCCTTTCTGGTTGAGTATGATGACACCACAGACAAGTCCAGTAAGTAATCTGTTGTGGCTCAATGTATACTTTCTGAAGATGCATTTAAATCCAATCAGTCTTGCCCTTAACTGTCCCTTGGAAATCTAGAAAGTAGAAAGCACAAGTTTGTGCCACTAATAAAGTTCCTCTTTATTAACTCATAGACTGTGAGCAAGTCAGGAGTTCCCTTTAATATCTGAGTGAACTTAAAGGAAATCTCAGCAAGGGGAACGCATGTTTTGATTGATTGATTTGACTGGAGGATTATCTCTTTCTTGACCCCCCCCTTAAAGAGCTCTCTGTCTGTTTGAAAATCCACTAATCAATGCTACACTTAAAGCTGGTGATAAAAACCACAACTGCCACGTGGATCTGGTGACTGGCATGTGACTCGCGTGTCTGTCCTGACCTCAACAACTACTACATAGTCTGCCTTTAAAGCATTGGTAATTTTGGTATAATTACTGGGCCACACCAAAACACTGTATATGTTTCCAAACCATCAAATAAACTTTATTTTGGTTTTAAAGTTTTAAAGCTCCAAAATAAACCATTTTGTAGTTGTCACATGCCCTCAGTCTTTGTATTATGAGCTTAGTCTAGGACTGAGAGAACAAAAGCAGGTTTATATCAGTGAAAAGTTGAGAGCAGTATTTTATTACCAGTAAAATAAACAAAGGAACAATGGAGTGAGTGATGACTACAGGCATTATAAGTACAGATTCAGTCTTTAAGTGTTTTTGATTACAACAACATGTGATGCTCCTTATCTGTTGGTACTATTACTGACATTGATAAACACTTTAAAGGTATAATAAAACTATCTAGCTTCATAGGTTATTGTTGTCTCTCATATTTCCTGGTTCTGGGTCAGTTCTTTCTGCCTGAACAACCTGTTCCTCAGCAGACGCCGGGTGTGGGATCAAGTCCTCCTTTTGGAGGAGGAAGCAGATACTAACACATACTAGACAGTCAGAGATTCCTTTTAGAGGGCGAGCATTTCAATCTTATGAAAGGGATTGTGGAATGTCAAAGTATGATGCACTGATCTACATGTCCTTTTACTTTTTGGTGCAGCACTGAAAGGGGGCCCCCTGCAAGACAAATTCAGGCTGTGCCAGTTCCACTTCCACTGGGGTGAGAGCAATGCCTGGGGGTCAGAGCACACGTTGGACAGGAGGCTGTTCCCTGCAGAGGTACTGTGATAGAGAATGTGAAACTTTTGTAATTCCTGCAGGGATATCAGAGTCTCTCTTTCTCTTTTATTAAAATAATATCATATACCCTTTAGGCAATGCTTTTATCTGCCTCAGTGTTATGAACATGTACAGGGGGTGTACACAAGACCAAGAACACTTTACAGTATAATGTGGAACATCAAAAAATACAGCCCAGAGCCACTCCGTACACCCTTTGAGATTAACTTACCCTATGAGATAATATCTTGTCAGTAAACGCAAACCGAGAGTGCACATCACTACACTCTTTTTTTCAGTCTGTTCCTTTGGTCCATGTTGTTATCCGACAGTCCTGTAAAGCGCGGTGGGTGTGTATAGGCTGTTGTAGAGTTAGGCAGATAAAGCAGTGTCATGCTCTGTGCTGCATAGGAACAACATCGTGCTAAGCAACATCTTTTAGGGATGTCCCGAATACCACTTTTTGGTATATTCAAAACTTCAGCTGTCTGAGAGACTGACGCCATCTGCCATAGGCCACTACAATCTCCCCTTTCTCACCCCCTCCCGTACAGGCTACTGACAATCACACATGATCTGCAGAGAAACACAAGCTTCATCCACACGCAGCTCACCTGCTGTTGTCAAGGATTCGGGTCCACTAATGCACTGATGCATGAGCTCCTCATTACCTGTTACAGCAGTACTTTGTTGCACACACCCTCTGTTGCTTTAAAAAAAAAAAAAACCTGACATACTGCTGGATTTGTGGAGCTTGTTAAGTACAGGTGCTGCAGTCACATGTATGACAGGTATGTGTGTTGTTATGTGACCAGGCCTCTGACTGAAAAAGATATGTAGTGCTCAAGAAAGCATGTAATGAAAAGTTAGATACCGAGAGAGTGAGGGAGTCTGAATTCACAATTAGCCCTCTACTGTTACTTTCTACATGACCACACTCTCTGAAGGGTTAAATGAAGAAAGGAGCAATGAAAGAAAACACAGGTTAAATGTTGACTTACTTTTCTTCTATTCATGTGTCCCTCATGAATGTCTGGAAAAATACTGAGGGTATTGTATTTATGACATCAAGTTATGTCTATACTGGAACTTTCCCTCCTCTCCTGGTTGTACAGTCGGTATCAGGCATGCTGCCAGGTTCTTTGATCTAGCTGTATTTCAACATTTCTCTTTGTATTATTAAAGCCAAATTCAAACATAGACCGCGTATTTGCCTCTCAGTGGGTGGGATTTGAAACTGGTACTGTTGTCTAGTCGACGTTTGACCACAGAATGTCTATTTTCATGTTGTTCCATTAACTTCAGCACACTTATGTAACAACAGGTTCCATTGACTCTGGGTGTGTCTTTTGCCAAGCCCTGGTTGGTGGTGTTGGGAATGCGTCTGTGTCACTGTTCTCATCACTCAGGTGTGTGTGTGTGTGTGTGTGTGTGTGTGTGTGTGTGTGTGTGTGTGTGTGTGTGTGTGTGTGTGTGTGTGTGTGTGTGTGTGTGTGTGTGTGTGTGTGTGTGTGTGTGTGTGTGTGTGTGTGTGTGTGTGTGTGTGTGTGTGTGTGTGTGTGGTATTGAGTTACAGTCCTGACTGACAGCTGTGTGCCATGTAAATGTAAAGCCCAATCTATTTCTGTTAACCTTCGTGTATTGTCCATTCCCAATCATAGAAAATGACTTATATAAGACAAAATATATATATATATATATAAAGCATCACAGACAAAAAGGTCGTAATTTTCCATTAAAAGCCCCACAGATATAGTTAAGTTGATTATCATTTTCTTCATCTACGAAAGTTACATCTATTCTACGTTTGTTTTACTTTCTTAGTTTACAGTAAATGTGTCCTATATAAAAGACAAAACACATCACAGTGAATTCAAAGTGAGTCGATCACAACAGGGTTCCACCCATCCTGGAAATAATATATGTTTTCCTGGAAATGTTTAATTGTATGTTAGCCTGAGCTGTGGCCAAATTAATGTTGGAGAACATTGGAGGTCCATTCAGAAAGTGGAATAATTGGTTGTGGTGAGAAAGGCCAAGCACGCCATGAAAGCGAGTTAACAGAGTGTCGTTTTAAAGATGACTACTACATTTGTGAACAGGCCCTGTCCTGTATTGCCAAGAATTTTTTTTTTTTTTTTTTTTTTTTGAGTTGCACAAAAATAAACTCTTATTTTGAAAATCAAGGCAAGTAGGAATTAGTGGGTCATTTGGAGGACAGAATGAGTGGCTGAGTGGAATCAGACCAGAGGGGTTAAAAAGATCAAGGTCATGATATCCAGTCTCACACATAGACACACACACACAGAGTTATGATACGTGTGTACCCTGTGTGTGTGTTCTCAGCTCCACCTGGTTCACTGGAACTCTGATAAGTACAGCTTGTTCGAGGAGGCGGTGATGGAGGACAACGGATTGGCTGTTATCGGAGTCTTTCTTAAGGTATACCACACACACACTCTCACTTTCAAACTTTCAACCTACCTTGTTGCACAGAGGACTGTAACATCCAGATACTGCTGTATACATTACATGTACAGGTTTACACTGTAACTGCAAGCCAGATTAATGTCTAATCCTTGTGCAGGTGGGAAAGAGACACGAGGGGCTGCAGAAACTGGTGGACGCTCTGCCTGCTATCAGACACAAGGTTAGTCCACTCACACACACATACACCACATTGATTTCCTAATAATTTTTTCATCAGTCCAGCTTGGAAATATAATGCCCCTTATAAAGTCATATTCAAACAGCACTGGGCTAGAAGGTAGATACTGACGCCCTCTAGTGGTTTAGTAGAGACACTACAGGACTGGTTAGACAGGCCTTTTTCACAGGAATCAGAAAATCTACAAGTACTGATGAACCTTTTTCACCCAAGAGCTAAATTCAGGAACCAAATCTGGAAGTAGCTAAAGTTGTATCACATGCATTATTGTACGCTATTTATTACTTTAGAATTTACACATATGGTAAATCAATGCACAGCCTATTACCTGTTACCAACAGAAGTTATATAAAGATGGTTTTTAATGTAAGAAAGCTTATCTGAAAATACATATAGGTGGTTGTACCTTTCTAAGGTGACTGGCTGGAGGTTATAGTTTGCCCTTCTTTCACATCACTGCCACTACACTGCTTATCATTAATAATGTCTGATAAGCTTGGTGTTTGTCCAGCCAGATGAAATGTCACAGTTGTGATGCACTCATTATGTAATAAGTTATTTGACATATTTTATGTTGATATTTTTAATGATTTAATGAATTAATGATTTTAATGATTAGATAATGATGGTTGTAGTATTTAGATAGTTCCAGTCTTCTGTTATTATATTAGTCTGTGGTACTGATAGTGAATGTCTTCTGGGATTTTGGCCCATTTATAGTACTAATAGTATTAATAATTTAAATACTTTAATGATTTTATTATATTAAGAATATTAGAACCTTTGTATGAACTGTGTGTGGCAAAGTTCAGCAGTGATCTTCCTTGTCTCCTGCCTATGACGTTCAAAATAATTCAGCATACAGCTTCACTGACCATATTTTTTTTTTCTGTGTGTCTCCCTCTGGCCGTCTGCAGGACAGTGTAGTGGAGTTTACCAGGTTTGACCCTGCCTGTCTGTTACCCACCAACACTGAAGACTACTGGACCTACCATGGCTCTCTGACCACTCCCCCTCTGACTGAGTCCGTCACCTGGATCGTTATGAAGCAGCACATAGAAGTCAGCCATGATCAGGTATCTGTGTGTGTTTTAAACTAAATATTTCTTCACACAGATCCTGTTCTTTGTAATGTTTTTTTTAATGTTGATTGTGTTTTAATATTGAGCTTCTTAATTCTATCAGGATGTATTTCAGTTCGGTTTAGTTTAACTTAAAGCTGCAGTAACATCTTTTTCAGCAGAGGGCTCACTGTATACTACCTGCCCAGCACCAAACAGTAGGCAGCTTTTGCGTGTATTTTTCTCAGGAGGTGGTGGAGACCACAACAGAGCTAAAGGGAAAGTAAATATTGGACTTGCATTCATCAGGTGACTCCAAATAAATGCTAATATTTAATATTTGTTTCACAGAACCATTTGGGATACTGTTTGGAAAAGGGCAGACACTTAAATAGCAGTTGTTTTCGAGCAAACGGTTACTTCTCACACACACACACCTGGTGTTAAATCAGGTCCGTAGTTCGTGCTAGAGCGGGACTGTATTCTTAATCCTTCTCCCGGTGGATTTCTGCCTATTACTGCCCACTCCCGCTGTGTGTGTTTCCACTCCCACAAGCAGTCTGACTATTCAATTCATTCTTACCGCAGGTGAAAAGATGTTATTTTTCTCTGTCAGTAACAACTGAGAAATGTCTCCAAATGGCAGACTTGCCTTGCTTTGTAAAAACCTGCTTTAATTTTCCTCACAACTTAATTTGTTAACTATGTCTCCATCCTTCTGGTGGATGCAAGATAAATCCCGAGACTCAGACTCAGGTGTTTTTTACCACCCGCTCCCATGAGATTTGTAATCCCAGTGCAGCTCTCTAGCCCATGCTTCCCAGTAGTTAGGACGCTGATTGGTCTGGTACCATTGTAACGGCCACAAACGCATACATTGAAGAAAGATGGAATCTTGCATGATCAGCTGCCCTCAAGGTTAATGCTGTTCTGCTGTTTCCAAATAATCTGTTAATGCAGCTTTAACCCAAGATGGAACTCTAGACCAGCCACTAGAGGGCTCCTGTTGTCTTTTAGAGTAAAACTCAACCTCAGTTTTTTTCAGTAGCACCTATGCTTTCAGAAACTGGTTCCAGATACTAACGGGTAACCCTTATCACGTTGCAACAATCTGAATAATTTTGGGGTGTGCCCAGCTACAATGAAGGTAGCTGAACTTGCATGACAGCATTTTTTGCCTCAAGACATGCAGCATATTTCTCTTACACAGAGGATGAAGTTACTCACCCTGTGGATGTTTTGTGTAAGACTCTTCCCTTTTCCCCCTTTAGCTGGCGGTCTTCCGGAGCCTTCTTTTCACCTCAGCCGAGGAGGAGGCACAGAAGAGCATGGTGAACAACTTCCGCGTGCAGCAGCCTCTCTGTGGCCGCACCGTGCGCTCTTCCTTCACTCCCTTCCTAAAGGAGGCACCGTCAGCTGAAGGCGACAAGCACCCCCACTGACACTGCTGGACCCAGTGAACACATCCTCTTACACAGTAACACACACCATGACCACCGTTACAGACAGTGACCGTACCAAAACAACCTTTACTCTGTGAGCAGCTGTCCAGACTTTTTTTTTTTTTTTTAAACAGATTTGCTACATTAAGTATGACAACGTTTCCTCAGGGTAACTGCAGTTATACTTATTGCTTACTAATATTTCTTGGTAGTTTCAACTGGGTAGATTTTTATTTTCGTTAGATTTTCCTGATTCTGGTTTGACCAAAAAATAACCAATAAGGGAGGGTTGCTGTGGGGAAAAAGAGTAGTTTTACTGATTTTATTAACATGAATCATATTTATTATACGTTTACCATTCATTCAGTGACTGTACATGAGTGCTGCTCTATACACTGAGCTGCTGAGACGAACTCAGCAGCACTGTGTGCTGGCCACAGTCTGTACCACAGCAGAGTCTGCTCCGACTGTTCTCCATATAAGGAGGTTGAAACTGCTGCTAGTTTACAGCTGAAAGCCCTGGAGATTTTAACAGACTGGTGATACCAACTTGGGAGTATCTCTCGAGTAGAAAATTGTCTAATTATCACTGAGGGTTTTATACCACAGTCTCACTTTTTAAAATCCTGTATGGTAGGTTGTTGGGTTCATCATTAATTTGATCATTTATACATTAATAATATAATAATAATAATAATAATAATAATAATAATAATAATAACAACAACAACAACAACAACAATAATAGAAGAATGTATGTTTTTATTTGTTACAAAGAGATTATACTGTATACAGTACATCTGACATTCAGAAACCTTTTTTTATTTTTACAATATGTGACACATCCAACACATACAGTAGAGTTTTAAATGAACTCTACTGAGCCTTGGTTCTTCTACGCAGAACTATTAAATATGTTACAAATACGCACATGCCAGGTTACAATAGCACATACTGAACTAAGCAGTTCTCTTCCATCACTCCTTTTTACAGTGGTTTCACGTACCATAACCACAGTGCCTTAAATGTTCTCTGTGTGAATCACTGCTATTTGGCAGAGGTTCCCTCAACACATCTCCGAGCATTAACATCCGTTCCACACTTGTTCCTTTAAGCTATGGTTCAAGTGCAGTGGTTGCTCACAGTAACAGTCAAGGTTCAGGTGACATTTACTATGGTTCTCACCTCATTTATCTTTTTTGAATGAAGTACAAAGTGCTACAGCCACTGAGTTCAGGAACATGGTGTAAACCTGGAAATGACTCTCAGGTCTGACTGACTGAATCAAGTCTATATCTGGAGGGAACTGTTGTCTCCATTAGTCTGTCTGGTTTAGTTAGCTTTCTGTTGTCTCACATTTGTCTGATGAAGACAAAGATTAATCAAACATTACTGGACAAATCAAATTTGACTGTTTTGGGTGGGAAAGGGTTTAAAGCTGCAGTAGGTAACTTTTACAAGAATACACCCGACCTGAACAAAAACAACAAATCAGAGTCAAGAAAGAATTTCTTGTAAATGCCATTAGGAGCACCAGGACGAGCCAGAGGAACCTGATTTTTTCACAGATTATCTGTCTCATGTATACCTGTCAGGATATAAGTTTCAGAACCTACCTACCTACTTCAGCTTTAAAAAGTTTTTGTTGTAGAGTAATGTAGAATCGATGAACTGGTCTAAACTACTACTTTATGTTATTGAATTCATTATTAAGTCAAAACGCACAAAGGATACTACCATGGATAGCTATGGTAGATGCATATCATATTGTCTAAGGGAGCTGGTTAGACAGTGCCACAGTGGGACCAGCTGACTACGATGGCCTCGTGTATCACCTCGCCTGTCTAGCAGCGTCTAACAGTTACGTTTATATTATCAGCCTCTGTAACTCAATACAAACTCCCAGTTAGCCTTTCTGAAAAAAAGCGCCTTCCTGGGGTTTACTTTCCACTACAACAGTTGCATTAAGAAATTGAAACCTTTGTGATTTTAACTTGACCACAGAAAATACTACCGCTCCATTGAAGCATGGTCTCTGCTGTCAGAGAACTTCCAGAGCGTTTCACTCCTCTCTGTCTCTCTGTCCTGCTGTTATTCCAGACGTGTCCAGGCTAGCCGTGACACCTTGACTTGCCCATGGACTCGCCTCTTTTGTCGAGCAGCTGTAACGTTCAGCCCGCTAATGTCTTATGGGAAAGGGTGTTTGTTGAACGTCGCTAAAAACCAGAGATATTAAATAAACAAGGATATTAGGTTGTATAATACTGTTGAGAAAGGCTCTGTTCCCAGGCTGGACTTCTACTTATTAGTGTCTTAACAAATATCAGGGTTTTTGAATGAGGTTTTCTTACTTCTAGAACAGAACCTGGAAGATCTGGTTACACTTTGGTTCTCTGTTTTAGCTACTCAAGGTACCCTATCCAGAGCTTTAAAGGCTTCACACTAAGGTTTATCAAGCTGTGCCCTGTGTGTTTTTCCACTTAATCCAAAAAGCAGACACAGTGCAGATGAGGATTTTGTAATAAAGACCAAGTTTACGCAACCTTGCATTGTGTAAAGAAGTCTGACAATCCAGCCTGCCTGCTTTGGCTCATGTCCAACAGTTGCGATGCACCAGGTGAATCTTACTATGCAGTATTATAAGAAAGGGAATGAGAGGTTTGAAGAAAAGATGGGGAAGAGAGAGAAAGTTAGAAGGGGAATAAAGTTCTGATTCAGACAGAGAACATAAATAGATCTGCAGAGTTTCTCTAATCAGTCTCATTTTTCATCTTTTCATGAGGAGAGGAAACTATAATTGCACTACAAATCAGAAAGACCACATCAAAGGAAGTGGCCACTAACATCCACATGTGAAAGTTTCCTCCATTGACATACAGTTGAGTTGAGAGGTCACGCTCGTCTGTATAATCTCTGAGTAACAATGCAACTGTCCAAACTGGCCCTCCACCAAGTTCCTCCCCTCCTGCATCGGGCATACACACCCTGCTCCCCAGTGGGTCCTCCACTGGCTCCCCAGCATGAGGCCGACGGCTGAATAGACTAACTGGATATGTAGTGAAAAGATTTGACGCTGTGTGGTGTTAACTCGTTGTGAAGGCTGCTGATTTTCTAGATAAACGCTCAAGTGGCCACAGGGGTGGTTGATAGCAGGTTATTTTATGTTTTTATTTTTTTGTTAAGCAAAAAGGAGTTTAGAGTGTCCTTGGTGTGGAGTTTGATGGTGATGCATCAAGAACACTTTTAGGAATGTTTTCCTTCTTTACAAATGATGCAATACAGAATCTATGTTCAATGTATTCTACTAACACAGAGACAAGGGACCCAGTACTGCCTTCATCCTGTACAGATGTATTTTATAGATGTATTTGAATTGTGCACCATGGTTTGCCTTCATGTTTCATGGCATTTTACTGGCGTTAACTTACTTTTTATGCCTTTTTTTTTTGTTTTTTAAACTTTGAATGCAATGAATATCAAGATATTTGAATGGAAAATATTTTTTCTGTCAAAGCTGGAGTCAGTGATACGATGTCAGAAATCAAGATGATTTTTTTTTATTGATGGTTGGATTGACTCGTCCTCCAGTTGAGCAACCCTCGGTCAGAACCGTGGTCAGCTTTGTTCTTTCCTGTTCTCAGATATGTTTTGTGCTAGGCTAATCTATGTTGGAAAGACAACTAAATTGTGAAGCTGGAAAAATAATGACATATATACAGTCACTACTTATGTTAGCTAATGTTAGCAATACGCTGGCAGTATATTGGCCTAACCCTAACTAACAATTGATGGAAATTGGATTGATGTTAGTTAGCCAGTGTTTTACTAACATTAGCTTTCAGATGTAACTACCCAGCTAAGGATTGATGCAGATTAGCTATTGTTGGGGCACAGACCAAACAGGGGCGGGCCTTAGGAAGGGTCAGTTGAGGATGATATGTGATGTTTTCTCACATCACAGTTGCATCTCACTGTTCCATTATCTCTTTTTTTCCCCCATCTTCTCCTGACTTGTATCGCTGCCTTTCTAAACATAGCATTACAGAGTGCTGTCATCATGCTGCATTTTCTTCATGACATGATTCTCTTGGTACATCTTTCCTTGCCTCCTGTAGCTCGGTGTGATGTTTTAGGTGTATGTTATGTATGTTGTACACTGTATGCAGTACATATTTTATCTGTTTATTTGTCCAGTGGGCAGCAAACATTCCTGCCCTGCAGGGCTTCACAAGGCCCCTCTCCTCTCCCAGTATGCACTGCTCCACCTGGATTGATGGGGAGAATGTTAAAAAACCACCCAACTGTGTCACATGATACAGATGTAAAGATGATTTTAAAGAAACTGATGTAATAATAGATTATGTATAACAATAAAGTAATGCATGATGTAAAAAGGATGTGTATCTCTTTGTGTTTTTGCGTGTCTGTCTCCATGACTTCTGTGCTCTGCTATGTAGTTTGATACATTTTAATTTCCATCACATCTGTTTAAAGTTAAACTGAGCCTGAAACGGTAGAAAACACCAAACTGAAGTCTGAAACCTTCAAAGGTGCTGCTATATAAACTGTCTTTCTAAGAAATGTATACATCCCCACTGTTCCACCTGCAGGCCCTCCTGACCCAGCTCCTCTCCAAGCATGAACCAGGGCAGGAAAACTGTTGGCCACTGCCTCTCTGTCTCAGCCCCCACCCTATCCCCACTGATACCTTTGAAGCCCCCTGACACAGAGAGGGGATGTTTGGTGGCCCCCACCCAGACGCCTGGGGTCCTGAGGGTGGGTTGTTTACACTCTTTTATACGCCGTTACCACGGCCGGGTGTGATTTGGGTCTCCACCTGATTCAAACCAAAGCAATGGCGATTGAAGCCGACCTCTGGGGGTGTTTATTGTGCTTGGCTGCAGGGGAGAGGGGCCTAAGTCTGCAGGGACACACCAGTCAGTCTCTGCTGGGCTTCCCCTAATTGTATGAATGGACAGACTGACTGGAGACCCAGAGGCTTTGAACTGTACACCCTGTGTGATTCTAAGCATGCACATGTGTCTTTGTAGTGGGAAAATAAGAAAAGGTTTATAATGGCTGAATGAAGTGTGACTGCCATTGGGACTTTTTGTGAGGTAGATATCTGAGAGGGAACTTTGGTGGACCAGCTTGCAAAAATATTGGTTTGTGGCTACCAACAACAAACCGCTAACACGTTTCAGTTTCTCCAAACTTATTCTCTTTTATGAAAATCTTTGGTGTCCCGAAATTTGGTCCTCTTTGCATAGGAACAAAATTACTTCTTTGTCACACTTTCTGTATTTAAGCTAACAATGTATCACTGTGCCCCACAAAACCTCCCTATACAGTCTGTGGCACTCAAGACATAAATCTTTAAAGGTCTAATTCATACAGTTTTTTTTTTTTAAAGGTGCACACATTTCCTTAAACAGCTGGGCACTGTAGTTTTCATGATCCCCAGAGGATGAATCCTAAAGACTTTGGTGATTCCTTCATTTTCCATCCAGTGGCATCCTCAGGTCAAACCACTACTTTGTTCACTTCTCTAGTTTATGACCAATTACCTTCACACATAATGACGTTTGCATTGCAGTTATATTTTGTAATATTCATATTAGTGACACTGTACTCCTTTTATTGCACTATATTCCCCAATGCTGCTGTGTGTAATTAGAATTTCTCCTACTAGGGATAAATAAAGGTTTATCTGATCTGATCTGATCTTAGCGCATGTTATGATGCTAACATGCTAAACTAAGACAGGTAACAATGGTACATTTGAATTGCATTGAAAAAATTCAACCAGCATCAATGTCTCAGTCAGTTACTACCTTCAGTAGAATGAGATGTTGCTATTGAAAGTCTTAATATTATATATATAAATATTAGTCAGCAACCTTTACTATCAAAAGAGCCTTATAATGCTAATTTCTCACCACAGATCAAGAATACCAGTAAGCCAGCAGCAATTGAGAAAATAAGCTGTTTTCTTTTATACAGGTTAACTGACCCTTAAAAATGTAAATGGTTCGCTGTGTGTACATAGAGCTATGTCTTTTGGAATAAACCTTGATTCTTTTGTATGCAAAATATATGCATCCAATGACATACAAGTGTACCATTTAGAAAACGCCATAGTGACCTTGTTCACTGTCCCTCACTGAAGCAGAGAGATGAAAAGAAGAAGATGAGAAGAAGGCAGGTTCTAATTAGAGAACTGGTCTTCCTGCTGTCCTTCTGTTCTCTGTTTGAGGGGAATCGTTGTAGATCAACAACCCACGAACCCCTCCAGTTCTCTGTACAGACAGAGATATAAACAGGAACATACAATGAGAGGCTCCATTCCCTCTGAACTCCAAGCCAGCTGCTCTTCCTCCTCATCTTCCTCCTCTTTTGCTCATCTCTGTGGTCTTCAGCTGCTCTGATGTATTTGTTTGGTGTTTCAGACATTTCAGACAAAGGACTTATATCCGTGTGACTCCTGTTTTGACTCCAGTGTCCTGTCTAAACTGGTTTGTTTAAATACATATTGGGAGTGCACCTCGTTTCACAATTCATACATGCTACACACTATCTCACAATACAGTTAGAGGTAACTCTGACAAAGTAGGAAAAATGACATGTCATTTGCTGATATAGTAACATGTACAATCTGCAAACATGTCTTTTAAATGTATGTTACAAGGCAAAAGGTTGATTGAGTTGAACTTAGAAGTTCAGTGTGTAAGAAGTTGCAGACTGTAACTGACCGAACATTGCTCAGATATATATTTCACGACCTGGGTATGAGAACGGGCTGTGCAATGTGAAAGAAGAATTAGGGTGGCGGTGAAAAAACACAAAATACCCTATTTAGTGCCAGTGTTGGTTTGTTCGTTCTGGGCTACTGTAAAAACATGGCAGTTCAACATGGCAGACTCCATAGAAGGTGACCCCCGGCCTCTATAGATACAAACAGCTCATTCTAAGGAAACAAAAACATAACATAACATATATGTTATAACGTGTATATATATACACACACACAATAATTATACACTAATGAAAACATACCTCTGGATATTATATTCCATTTTTGCCATCAGATCCTTCTAAATGTTACACACTGGACTAAAAATAGCTTTAAAAAGCTCTGTTTTTGGGCAGTTTAATGCCTTTATAGCTGCAGTAGAAACACGACAGGAAATGAGGGGAGACAGAGATGGGGACTTATGCAACAATTTAAGGACCCCAGTTGAACATGAACCAGCAGTACTTTAACCCCTAGGCCACCACTGTGTCCCTGTACACTGTAGTAAAATATATTCAAAATAAATAAGAATAAAGTAAAAGCGGATAAATCCTATAGAGTCCTGAAGACCTTTTAAACAGGCAAAAAGTAAACTCATAGCTTTAACACAGTCTTATTTTGCTAGTTCAGTTTCATCTTAGTCACACATATTCTCAACTGCTTCTAAACAAACACACTTTAAAACAGCACTAATGGGTTTTTATTGGCCACTTGGGGGCACTGACGTCACCTTATAAAATAGATATGGCAAACAAGTTAGCAAAAAGCTCCCTACTTACTATTTTATGGAAATATTGATACTCTTGACTATTGCGCCATTTTGTTTTGTGATACTATATTGATTCTCAAAAACAATATATCCATTTTTGTGTTTAAACCCCTGAACCAGGAGATAGCTGTGTGTGTAGCAGACTAAGGGCAATGATGTTGGATGTTACAGGGAGTGGGACAAAAACAGTGGAGATCACACTGTTCTGGTTGCAATACTCAGAATGTATGCATATGCGGGTGTAATAATGCATGCTACTGTTCCAGGCTATCCAAAAACCACAGCAACAATAATAAGCAGTCCTAAAAAGTTCTCACGCACGTGGACAATGTTGGGTGGATAGATTGTTTATATGTTTGTGCATTTGATGATTTCATTGGTCAGCCTGCATGCAGTCCCTCATGAGAGAAGCTGGAAACAGAGTGGATGTTACTACAGCTGTAAGGAGAGGACCTCTCCCACACTCACACCACAGTGTCACGTCTTTGTTTACGAACATTTTCCCGTCAGTGCAGTGTTCCCTCTCATACTTACGCAATCCTACGCTCTATGGTAAAAATGCTAGGAATCTCTTTTCATTCATATAGTGTGTGGTCAGCACTAAAGTAAGTCAATACAACAAGAAGCAGTACTGTAAAAGGTGCCATGTCAAGACAAGACATTAGCACCATAGAGGAGCAGCACAGAGAACAGTCGGGACTCTGCAGTTCACAGTGCGCCAGTGGGTCAGACTTGTGTGAGAAACCTGCTGGATTTTTTATGATAAAACCCACTTTCTGCAGTTCTGTTTAAAATGGAGAACTAGTAAATAGGAATGAAAAATCGGCAGAGAAAACAAAAACTAAAGCCTGAAGATGAAACCTCCGTCCTGCAACATGAAGCAGCAACATGTGTGTGACATATGGTGCTGATTTTGACAAACTAGCACTCATAATAGCGCCAGTGTTGCTTCATCTCCAGTATAGTCTGAGTTGCTTGCACGCATAAATGCATACTTGAATACACACTGATACATGAATTGCCCATCACAAAATATATAAACAATATGTATTGTTTGAAGATTATAAATGTTGCTTCATAATCTCTCTAATGGTTCAATTTTACAAAAAAGAGGAAGAGGGAATTTGTCACGTTACAAACAAAATATCCGCAAGTTGTATCCTACATGTACGTCTATCAGAGCAAATTACTTTAACATTAGATATGTTAAAATGTGTAGTTTTCTATGAAAATAAGCCGTACCCACCATTGAAATGCGGACCTCCACCTTTCTAAGGGGTGTACAACAAGAATACAGAAGAATTAGGGTTAAGTTGTCTTTAGGGTCAGGGTTGTGCTGAATTAGAAATGTTTCAGTCCAAAATAGGAACTGGTAAGGGGCAATAATTGTATGTGTAATATCACATGAGCATACACATGTAAATATGTGGTTTTCACATTTCCTATGCATAAGTAAGTAACAAATATATGATTTTGTCATTAAAAAAGATAATTTCCTAAAACAGCTGGGCAATGTAGGTTTTAGCAAACATTACCCAAAGAAGAGTAAATTGTGCATTTCTTGGGGACTATTTTCAGCTGCGGATTATTACACATGGATCTACTGTCTCCTACATACTTGGAATGGAAGGGTGAGGTGAAGGGGTTGCATTCTGCAACTACAGCACTAGATGCCACAAATCCTACACACTGGTCCTTTTAGCTTTTCTTGTGTGGTGGAGTGTGGGTGTGAGATTCAGACACAAGGAGAGCCATAATGTTATGTTTCAATGTTATGTTTCATATGAAATTGTGAAGTCCTCCCACAGTGACAAAAAATAACTCCTTCATTTGTTCCCATGTCTCTTGGGGGCCTGTCGGAGCGGCTGTACGGGTTTACAAAGACAGACAGACATGGATTATGGTATGTTTGTGTCTCCTGATCCGGGCTCGACCTGAGATGAAGCTCTTGCATTCTTCAGGTTTTGTGCAGACGGACAGAGACAATATCAGAACGCACCTTTAGGCGGGATTTGTTGCCAATAAATGTTGACCGTGTCCACCTGCTCTGAACAAAGGAAATTGTCTGTGTGTGTGTCAGTGGATGTGTTTGTATGTTTAGAAGTATTAAGAACATGGCTCAGACTTGTTTTCTGTCTTTCAGCCACATCTACAGGTATGTGTGTGTGTGTGTGCTGAGTGTGTTGGTGTATGTGTGTGTGTGTGTGTGCTGAGTGTGTTGGTGTATGTGTGTGTGTGTGTGTGCTGAGTGTGTTGGTGTATGTGTGTGTGTGGGTGTGTGTGTGTGTGTGTGTGTGTTGGTGTATGTGTGTGTGTGTGTGTGTGTGTGTGGGTGTTAGTGTATGTGTGTGTGTGTGTGTGTGTGTGTGTGTGTTGGTGTATGTGTGTGTGTGTGTGTGTGTGTGTGTGTGTTGGTGTATGTATGTGTGTGTGTGTGTGTGTGTGTTGGTGTTGTGTGTATGTATGTGTGTGTGTGTGTGTGTGTGTTTGGTGTATGTATGTGTGTGTGTGTGTGCGCGTGTGTGTGTTGGTGTATGTATGTGTGTGTGTGTGTGTGTGTGTGTGTGTGTGTGTGTGTGTGTGTGTGTGTGTGTGTGTGTGTGTGTGTGTGTGTGTGTGTGTGTGTACGTGTGTTGGTGTTGGAGCCAGAGATGGTTCCAGAGTCAGCCTGTGTGTCTGTCCTGGATGTGCTCCCAGTGGATTGTTTTTAAGCCTTCTGATTGCTCGTAAGTGACCTCAAATATAAAACTCCAGCACTCGAGGTGAGGCATGGCTCCAAACACACACACAAAACTTTGTCACATAGTTTGCCACACCTTTCCCAGGAGCCTCATTATTTAATAGTCTACTTAAAAATCTGGGGCATCTTATAGGCGAGGTTGGATGAGCATCATTTACAAGCAGGGTTTTGGGTTTGGCATCACTGTCATTGTTGACTGTGCTACTGACTGCTTCTCTGCTGGTATCTTATTTCTTCAAACAGCTCTTCCTCATCAAACATGATCACCTGAAATTCTGGAGAGACACAACTCTTGTGGTTTCAATACCCTGACATGCGCTGCACACTTCTTAACATTTAATCGCTGGAAACCAAAATATAAAAAATATATTTAAAAAAATGTTGTTACATAAAAAATAGTGTTAAAATGTGATGAAAGGTTTATTACACAACTGACACTTGGCTTCAATCCAGAAATGCTGCATAAAAAAGCAGAAATACAACAATGAAAGCACTAAGCTGAACTGTCTGCCATGTTTAACCTCTTGCTGCACATTTGTGTTGGTTTATATTGTCTTTCAATATTTGCAGAATCACTGGATATTTAGGGTGGACTTCCCTTTAAATGAGGGAGACTTTCTATATTTGGTATAAAGTTATAATTTAAATGTAATAAATTGGGTCATACCTGGGCCTTACAGACAAAAGGATTTTAAACATAAAATAACACTATAAGTTATTTTAACACAAAAATGTGTTTGTTTTACTTCAAAGTTGCGATGTTATTAGTTTGAACAATTGTTTTGAGTGAAATGAACTTATCTGGTTTCACAGTGTAGAATAAAGGGTGGGGTCACTGCCAGCTACAGTTGCTTCAACAAACTAATGACTAAATATTGCTGCCTGGTTATCGCCCTGTATTGTATTTATGTAAAGTAGTTTTTGTGGTACCTGTTGTTGCTGCTGTGATCTCAAGGATAGATCTCACTTGTAAAAGAGACTTTAATCTCAATGTGACTTCCCAGTTAAATACAAGTTATATTATTATTATTATTATTATTATTATTATATATAATTATGTTACAAGGTCTGTTTGATTCGTGATGTCAGTTGAAATTCATAATGGGGGAAAACAATGGATCTGGAGATTAATCAATCACTTGACAGTCAGTTGGCCAGTCTGAAGATACTGATCTGATTCAAATGTGGTGCCACGTGCCACATTTGAATATAATTTTGTCCGATGCAAAACACACTCATGCAACCAAGACCGGGCAATCAGATCAGATTTCTCTGCTAGAGAAGTGTGCGAAATAAATACTGGAATTACCATAACAGGTTAGTACTTCACTTTCAACATTTGCATAGCCGAGGATACAAAGTGACATCAGCTGCTGACAGAAACATCACATTCCCTGAATGAGTGAGTGACACCCAATATTTAACTCCTGGCTCAGAGGCATCTAAACCCTGGGCTACACAACGCTTTGAAGAGGATGGTCCATAAAATGGTCCAGATCCATAAAATGACACAAGATGTCTTGAATCCCCATTTCTGGGGGCTTCCAGTTCACGTGCCCTCAGGCTATTATCAGACTCAATGTCTGAGATTAGAGAGCCATAAATCAGTCCAGCTGGTTCAGGTGCTTGGCTGAAAAACTGGACAGACTGCTAACGGTTGAGTGCTTCCTGCTCCTGTGCTGTATTACTGGTATTTCCTTGTCCTTTTATGCAGAGATGAAGCCATGTAGACCCGACCGGTCCATCACGTGGGGCCATCTGGTCCCTCAAACCCAGATCAGATGGGAAGAGTGAGACGAGGCAGTGTGCTGGAGGGAAGCAGTGTCGCAGTCCGCCGCTAGAGGGCAGCGAAAGACAAAACTGACGAGGAGGAGACGCGGATCTCAAACAGGGGCTGGCCTTGACGGAGGAGGGCCATGATGCCAATTTACACGCTTTCTTTGTACGTGGATAGAGTAAAGACACGAGAAAGCACGCTGCTCTGACAGACCCACAGACACACCGCTGACTCGTCGTGGCTGAGCCCGGCCGGTATCAGACCACAGAGCGGACCGAACACAGAGAGGAACAGACCCGCGGGAAAGTGGGAAGCCTCGAGTGAGGAAGAAGAAAGAGGAAACTAAGCCAACGATGTCTGGGCTCAAGAAGAGAAACTCCAATTCCTCGGCAGACAGGGAGGAGGACAAGCAGGTTACGGAGAGGATGCTGTCCCCGGGCAGCGGGGATAAGGAGGACTCCAACCAGGGCGGAGCACCGGGAGGCGACGCCAAGAGCCCCAACAACGCCGCCGGAGGAGAGGAAGGAGTCACGCTGAAGAGGACCATCACCCTGGTGAACGGCGTGGCCATCATTGTTGGCACCATCATAGGCTCGGGCATCTTCGTCACACCGACCGGCGTGGTGAAGGAGGCCGGCTCGGTGGGTCTGTCCCTGGTCGTGTGGGCGGTGTGTGGGGTGTTCTCCACGGTGGGAGCCCTCTGCTACGCGGAGCTGGGGACCACCATCAGCAAGTCCGGGGGGGACTATGCCTACATCCTGGAGGTGTACGGCTCCCTGCCGGCTTTCCTCAAACTCTGGATCGAGTTGCTCATCATCCGGCCGTCCTCGCAGTACATCGTCGCCTACGTTTTCGCCACCTACCTCATCAAGCCCCTGTTCCCCGTGTGCCCGGTGCCGGAGAACGGGGCCAAGGTCGTGGCCTGCCTCTGCATCCGTGAGTATCATGCTGCCCAGGATGATGCAACTTTAGGTGTTGTTGTTGTGTGTTGGGGTGGAGTTACACTTACACGCACTGCCACTGTCGGGACACAGACAGGAGGTAACCCACCGACTCATCTCACACACCTCGGTCGGTGCGGTAGGTTTCGTACCACGTGTGATGTTGACGAGACACGCGCACAGCCTCAAACGCAAAAATGCCGCGTTATTACATCAGGTCCGCTGCTCATAGATGTCCCATTGGGAACAATGTATGCTCATTTCATTTACACATTCTCATTGATTTATAAATACATTTACTGAACATGTTTAATTTAAACTTTATCTCTTTGTAATAATTAATTCATTTAACTGTAGAACTGATGAAAAGACGACCTTATGCCTACAGGTCTAAAGATGCTAATATTATGACAAAGACAACCATAAATCCCAGTCATTCTTTGTGTTTTATTCTCACCAGGGGGCAGTTTGAGTTCCTATTGCCTGAGACCATCTATTGTAGGCTGCTAAATGATCATACTGCCTCTTTTTTAACTCTAAATTTGAGGATAACTTTGCGTTACAAAATATATATGAATAATAAATAATGTGTTATGTGTGAGATATTAATATGGCAGATTATGTATGAGGCTTAAACTCAATGTGTGTGAAGAAACAGGCAATATATTTTATTTATTATATTTATATTTGCCTTGTTTTGTATAGAGTCTTAACAAGATTAACTCTGGATTTATAGCCACTTTAGCCTATTGGCACCAGTCTGGTTGTTTTCTTTGACCGCCACACGCAACAAGTGTCTCCCCCCGCCCCCCGCACTTCAGCTCACACACTCCATCTCTTTCTGAATACATGATTCCACATGACATTGTGTATGCATATATATTTGTGTGTGTGTGTGTGTGTGTGTGTGTGGTGCCAGCTAGTAACCCTAGTGCCTAATCTGCAGATTGACTGAAGGCTAAATCCTGACTGAGACCACATGACAAAGCTGTGGACCGAGAGGCTCAGTTATCCGTGTGCGTGTGTGTTCTCAAGCTTTGCTTGCTTTGGTGTGTGTGTGTGTGTGTGTGTGTGTGCATGCCTGCGGTGTAGGCAGTCAGGGTCACTTAGGGGCTGAGAGCCAAATCTACACACACACACACCACACACACACACACACACTTACACTTGTTGTAAGTTATTGTTCGGTTTGACCTGTTTCTGTGGGAATTGGGATCAGTATATCTGTGTGTTCACTTGCACGCATGCACACACACACATATGCCCAATTATTAGTCAGTTGTGTGTGTGCATGCTTGTGTGAATTCGGATGCCAGCCTTGTGTGTGTGTGTGTGTGTGTGTGTGTGTGTGTGTGTGTGTGTGTGTGTGTGTGTGTGTGTCCAGCCCTCTACTGTACTCAGGCTCCCTCTCTCTTTGTCTTGCTCTCTTTAACACAGAGCCTCATTGTGCTCAGTCTCGTCTCTCTGTTGTGGCCCCCGATCTGATTTAGGAGCTCTGAAGGGACCTGCTGCTTTAGTTAATCACTTTTAATGGGGTCCACAACAGAATTAGGACCCGCTTCGACAACCCAATGAGTGTGTGTGTGTTCAGGAGGGGGTGGTTACCAGCTTTGTACATGTGTGGGTAAAAGAGACTGAAAAGGATTTGATTCCCTTAAGAATTTGTTTATCATCTCTGAATTCTTCTCCAGCTCCCAGCGTGCTTTGAGAGCCGCAAGGGGCCTTTTCATGTGGTTGATGACAGCAAACGGGGGAGGCACACTAAAGCGCTTATAACGGTGCGGCCACTTACAGTCTCCCCTCTCTCCCTCTCCCTCTGCAGTCTTGTTGACGTTTGTGAACTGCTACAGTGTGAAGGCGGCCACCAGAGTGCAAGACTTCTTCGCCGCGGCCAAGCTCCTGGCGCTCGGACTCATCATCATCATCGGCTTCGTCAAGATTGGCCAAGGTACTTTGCACGAGCCCTGACATGTACATGTTGAGTTGCCCCACCCAAATGAGACGGCCCCTTCCCTCACCACGAGTAACACGCCTTCCAACAGTTCTAAAGTATGAGACCTACAGGATCTACACATCAGCACTACAATTAGATACATTAATCATCCTATAATTAATGAACCATAAACAAAAAAAACGAAATTATTTATTTTTACTCATAATTTTAAATTTATATAATGCAGTTCATTAGTTAAACACAGTTCATTATTTGAATTCAATTCAATATGACTCTGTACACTGGCAGTACTATTCATCAGTTAATTATCAGTATTTTATCATAAAATCACATTGTATTTTGTTGAATGCACAATACTTTAGAATACACACATCTGTTAAAGTTAAATAATACCACTTAAATAGGGCATATCTGACATAAAACCCCTTTAAAGTAATATAGTTTACTATTTAAACCTACTACAGGGTTCCCATGCATCCTGGAGAACCTGGACATTTAGAGATTACTTTCCAGTCATTAAATGACCAACATTTACTGGAAATAATCTATGTATTTTAGCCCCTCACTCACATCACATACGTAAACCTAGGTTAGAGAAAAAACTGTGGCAAACTGTTGTTAAATCACCAGAGAAAAAACACTGCAGAAAAATCGGCTTTGGCGAGAACAGCGGAAAGTGAGCTAACGCGAAGTGTCCCGTAAACACTGACCGCCTGCCTGTGATGAAACTAAATCACTTAATCACAAATCTCCAGGGAAATGTCCTGGAAAGGTCTTGGATAAAGATTTCTTAAAAAGAGAACTCTGTGTTACAATTTGAATTAAAATCACTTTTAATGGTAAGGTGTTCAAGAAATCAAAGAATCACCCTTGAAAGCTGTTTGAATGGGTCTGACACAAGCCTTAAAATGTACAAGTAAGTACTATCACTATCCTCATTTTATATATTATCTATTATTTTACGACGCTACAAATTATATCCAGCTACATAAAAAACCTGAGAAGCTGGGAGTTAGATGTGCAGAGAGTCTCTGCTATTGAGACGATGCACTGTCTCGTCCAGTTGCATTGGTGCGAACTGGTTTCTGAATGTTTTACACCATGCAAATGCAATATGCAAATCACAGAAGCTGAAATTGTTTGATAAAGGTACAATGTGTGAGAGATGCCCTGGCCTACAAATCTTGTTCTCAAAATGTAAGAAAACATGTTTGTTTGGTACAGACTGCAAGTTAAATTTGCGATGTAAAAATGATCATTCCCACACTAATCAAGATACAGATCACAATCACAATACCATATATCATACTAATATCAAAACAATTGCAATGTGATGTTTTTACCATATGGTGCAGCCCCAACCTGAAACTGGAAGTGGTTTATTTGACTTGAGCACTTCTGTGTCTTTTGTCTATTTCTATGTTATTTTGAACAAAAAAGATGTTCTGATGACAGTACTGACGTGACTTTAAAATTGGTAATAATTACGAGGGCTTATGTCCAGCTAGTATGTACACCCCACAGTAGGTAAAGAGGTATAAAAAGTTAAACAGTTTCAATAGGCAGCTGGATGTTCACTCTAATGTCTAAAAAAAAGGTTCCATAATTTGTAAGATTAGTTTTTGGAACCCCTCAAAGAAAATGTTCTTTTCTCTAATTTAATGAGAAACTCCCGAAATCAAAGACAAATGAGCTGTGGAGATTCTGTTTGAACCCCAGTCACCGCATTGTAGAGCATTGTAGAGCATTGTAATCCATTCTGGCCAAGTTGATCTCAACCCTCCCTGTTGTCTTTGTGCCATGTGAGCAGTGAATCTGTGGAATCGGAGTAGCCGGTGTTCAGCTTCCTGGAGCAGGGCCGAAGCCTCATTAAGGCCACAGGATGTAGTGAAGTGAAACAATAGCTCCTAAGTAGAACACGGCTCCTTACCTTTGGAAATCTACTCATTATTTACAAGATGTCTGAGTCACACAAACAGTCTGAACAAGCAACAACTCGTGTCCCATTCACTTTTAGAGCATTGAAGGTTTACTGAAGAAGGCATATTGTGACTAATACAGACAGGATGTGGGCTTGGGGAATCAGACTCTGCCCCCTAGAGGAAGACTGTGCAACTCTCAGCCAAGACTTTGGGGTTCATTGGGTTCATGTCATAGAAATTAGACTACTATGGTTTGCGGTCCTAAATATTAAAAGTGGCATAATACCTTTTCTTCTTCCTTTCCAATGACAAATAACACTTCTGCTACCTTTGTGTGTATGCTGCCAAGCCCTATGGCTGGCTCTCTTCCTGTCTGCAGGGGAGCTCTTGGCTGCTGTACTCCTCCGAGAGAGACACAGAGGCAGACAGAAAGCAGTGCTAAATTCCTATAGATCAGCATTAGATCAGAGGGAAACTGCGCTTTGGTGGCACAAGAAAATTCGAGGGGGAAACCCTCTAAAAGGGAAGTCAACAAGCATGTGTGTTGAATGTGAATGAGTCAGTGTGAGGCACAGACCGAGACTTGCAGATTAAATGTAATGACAAAGCAAACAGAGTTACAGATTAGTAGCTGGGAGCTGACAGCAGAGTCAGTTTAGTCTGATTTTTACTCACAGTAAATTGTTGTTTAAAGAGAGACACCTTTGAGGAAAAAGAGTGAAAAGTCACAGAGTTTAAACTGAAGTGGAGCTCACACAGTCTGAGGGATGTTTGTAGAGAGCTGCCAACCACACCAGTAACCTGTCTGTGTGCTGCCTCTGGTTGGAGCTCACATATGACCTGTTACTCTTTGGCCTCACACCTGACATTGACCCTTGCCAAGCTGTAAGGTTCAGCTTTGAAAATCAGGGACAAGACAAGACAAGACAAAAGACAGTTGAACTCAAACTGCAACGCCAAACCTACAGATCAAAGCTCGAAGCATCTAGAACAATCCACACAATTGTCTAAATGTAAATTTAAATGGAAGAACCAAAAAGTATTACAGTGCTAAATACAATTTCAAAGTCTTCTTTTTTTAAAAGAATATAATAATTTTATGATTTACACAGAATGGAGTCAATACAATCAAGTATTTTTTTTCATCATCATTGCACACATTCACAGTGGTTGAACTGACTGAGCGTCTGTTTTTGCGGAGGTCGGAAGGTCACAGGTCTCACATCAGCTGACTGGTGGGCAAACAGGACCTCAACACTGACTGGAATTGTTCAGAAGCGGGCTAGAAAGCGATGAAGCCGAGGGGGGTTGGAGAGAGGGAAGGTTGGAGTGTAAGAGGGGGGAGATAAAGTGTGTGGCTTCTGAAAGCCGGCTTTTCACTGGCAGAGATCAGTAGTAGAGGGTCCAGACAAAACATACAAACCTGCTGCAGGATACAGAATGCATGGAGCATAGGGATGGACTGATGTGGTATTTTCAGGGCCGATACAGATACCGATTATTAGTAATCAAGGAAAGCGATAAAAGATATTTGGAACCGATATGCATTTTCAGTAAGAAATAAAAATCTTTTTTAGAATATAGAATACCCAGCGGTAGAGTGTAATTAATTAATTAATTAATTATTGATTGAATTTACTCACAATATTGTACTTAAGTAAGATTTTGAGTAGATTTTGTACTTTATACTTCCACTCCTCTACTCCTCAGAGGCAAATATTGAGTTACAAGTTGCTTTGCACTTTGGGCCATTCTGCTGTTTTATAACTGGTACTTTAAGTATATTTTGACGTTAATACTTTTGTACTTATTTTTACACTGCAGTAATGCTACTTTTTTATTGAGTAAAAAAAAAAAATCTGAGTAATTAAAGCATATGCTGCAAAAGAGAACTTTTCAGTGTTGTATTTAAAAAAAAAAAAAAAATGACTCTACTATTACTATTAAAGATAGTGCTGTGGATGGGAAATTAAGCAAGACTAATGAGTGGTGACAAACGTCTGCATCAGAGACAAAGTAGGACATTTTAAGATGTACTTATTTTATCGGCAATCAGATAAATCAAGGCCAATAATCGCTCTATCCCTAATGGACCACTGTCCCGTTAAATAGACCATGACCTCTTTATAGGGACAGGCAGTTTTCTGTCAGCTTTATGGAAAAAGTGAGTTAATTAGTTTCTCTAGAGAGACAAAGTTACCCTGATGTAAGGCCTGTTAAAGCCAGTGTGTGGTCTGATGGGTGTGTGGACATAATGATGGTAAACAAGCTCTAAGTAGTTGCACGTTCTGTAATTCAGCAGTGTAAAAGGTTCTGTTGGTGAGGGCTTAAGTTAGTAATTGGAATCAAATGTAGAGACATTGTATGTTGACTTCTGCCCGAATATTCGAATATATAGCCTCTTATATAGCAATGAATGCAACAAATAAACAGTATTCCCCTGAACACTATTAAAATATATAATCCAGACAAAAAGTAACTTTTGCTTATATCACATGTGTAAATGTACTTCATGGCTAAAGTAGGAGGCCTTAACTTACCACTACAGTGGACAAAACAATCAAATTGAGCAGTAAAATGAGGAATGCAGTTGATCCATTTACAGTCATATATGTCATGTTAGTGACTGCAGATGTTAATCTCTGACCTTTTGTAGCTTTATTTTTCAGACAAGTTTATCAGTTTAAGAAGTAACAACCTGAGCTTTGGCCACTTTGACAGTAAAGCAAATTGACTTTTGTGGATTTTCATTCAGTTGAATCCTTCATTTTTAAAATAGGCGCCTGAAATAACAAGCATGAGCTCGAACTGATCGTCCCCCTGTTCTCTCCTCAGTGGAAGAAGGAACTGATCATTCTCCAAGTAAAGTTAAGCCACATAAGTTGAATGCAAACCCTGCCTGTCTAATGCCTGTTTAGGTGTGCAGCCGGAGCATGAAGAGTAATTCTACTCATTTGTAATTCTAGTCCTTTACTAAGTTCAGGTTCAAAAGTGAGCTTGTGTAATCTGATGGCACACTGATCTTTTTCATCACAGTGTTTTTAATGACTGTTTAACAGAGACACCTCAGATTATCTGGATTTAAACAAGGACTGGGTGCGTGGCTGTGATTACATCAACAAACTCCCCTGACAGGCTTTCTTTACTGCAGCGCCACTACAGCTGGAGCGGGGGTTGGTGAGGGAACTATCTGATTAAGGAAGAAAGTGACACACAGATAGGTATTTATAGATAGTCATTGGATCTCTTAAATAAATTAAATCATTTGGTGAAAGTTGGGGAATTTTATCAATGGGTCAAGTTACAGAAACAATCAAGGAATGCCAGCTTTACCAGGTTAGCTATATTCCATTACACAGAGGCTTAAAGTTTAGGGATGGCTCGTTACTACTTTTTCATGTCTGATACCTATGCTGCAACCTTGAGTGTCTGCCGATACCGACACCAATCCGATGCAGTCTTTTTAAGAAATACATAGCACCAAGTTAGTTAACCCTTTGTGTAAAAGTTTAGGCTAATGGATCGTATTGGATTATATATATTTTTAATATATATTATTTATTTTTTATTTTTTTTGCCTATCTGATTGGCACATCTTACTGCCAATAGTTACAAGTTACTTGATAATTAATAGAAAAGAGCAGAACTTAATACAGCGGTATCATAGAAGGAATTCCTGTACAAGTTCTGTTGTGGAAACAGTCCCAGTTAGTATAAACATGGAGAGATATGGCAGCTTCCGTCTAGTCGCCATGGTGATTTGAGTTTGGTAAAGTTAAACCAAACTGACACCACACACACATGCTGCAACGTATTCACCCTTTGTGTGTGTGTGTGTGTGTGTGTGTGTGTGTGTGTGTGTGTGTGTGTGTGTGTGTGTGTGTGTGTGTGTGTGTGTGTGTGTGTGTGTGTGTGTGTGTGTGTGTGTGTGTGTGTGTGTGTGTGTGTGTGTGTGTATGAGGTCAGAGTCTGCTGCTGTCTCAGATTAGTGGACATTGTAATCAGATTAGCTTCAGTAAACTCAGTGTCACACCTGCCCACACTGTTTGGAAGTGAACCGCTCACAGAGACTGATGCCTTGTTGACCGGCCATGTAAACTTCCCTCTGATTTACTTCACTTTCACCTTCAGGGATTTCCTTTCTCTCCTTCTTATTCTTCATCTACCCCACACTAACATGGTTTATTTAATAAAATACACAGTTACACTCACAGATCAATATTTTCGGACCTCGTGTTAAAGTCCCGGTTGACGTCTTAAAGTGGTTTTGCTCTGCACAGCTCTGCCCGAGGTGTTCATGAGTAAAACGTGTGTGTTTGTGCAGTGGGAGGGTTCCATTCATCTCAGCCTTAAGAGTAGGGCTGATCCACGTAATGCCTTAGCTTTTACCTGATCCACTGCCTCTTTTAACTGAATGGAAACTGAGTCACTGCCACGTCTGCTGCCAGATAGTGAAGATTTGCTGTTAGACTGAGCTTCATCCACATAAAGCGAGTTTCTCATCCAAATTCACCATGTTTGTGTAATATCTGTTCTGTAATCCTCCTCCTTCTGTAACTTGTTGCAGGGGGAAACAGCTAGCCCTGGCTCACTCAATGCTTAAACATATAGTACCTACCAGAACCTCTAAAGCTTGCTAATTAACTAAATGAATCCAATTTGTTGTTTTAGAGGGACTTATTGGACGGAGGGATAAAACAGTTTTTTTGTCAAGAGATACTACATTTAATTAGTTTGTGTATCAATGAAACAAATAAGATACAAAATGCTAATTAGTTAGGTTTAGTGGTGTTGGTTTTTACTTTGGACAGAGCCAGGCTAGCTGTTTCCCCCTTCTTCCAGTCTTTCCTCTAAGCTAGGATAATCAGCTCGTGGCTCTAGCTTCACACAGACATAAAGGTGGTATTGATATTCAAATCTAAATTTCCCAAAACTTTTAACTATTTCTTTAAAGCTGCAGCAGGTAAGTTTTATAAAAACTTTGGTATCTTTCTCAGCTCTGATTGGTTGTTTTCATTCAGGCCCCGCAGATTCTTGCACACTCCATTAGGAGCACTAGGAGGATCCAGAGAAACCTGATTTTTTTAATTTTTTTTGTCAGGATATAGTGAAAGTTTCAGCAAATATGACAAAATATAATTTACCTGCTGCAGCTTTAAGGTGTATGCTTTGTAGAACAAGAGCGTATCAGACAAAATAAAGTAAAATTAAAGTGAGTCAATAGTCATTGTGCTTTTTAAAGCAAAAGACTTCAATCTTTCTAACCCCTGTTATTAAACCAGTCCTAATTTAAAGAGGTGGGAACTTGTCTTTTATTCTCTCTCTGTGTGTGTGTGTGTGTGTGTGTGTGTGTGTGTGTGTGTGTGTGTGTGTGTGTGTGTGTGTGCGTGTGCGTGTGTGCTTTGTATGCATATTTCATTCCGTGTGTTTCTCACTGTCACTGCCTGGCACTGGTATCATGTGACCAGCTGATTGCAGTTCAGGTTGTTTCCTGACCAGTGTGGTGGAAGGTGATGGAGGAGTAACAGAAGAAGGAATAAAGCTATAAATGGCAGAGTGTAAGAGCAAAGTTGACACAATGAAGGAAAGATATATTTGTGTATTTCCACCACAAATTTGTTTCTAATACATAGTCGCCAGATCACTGAATAATAGCTGGGCAGAGCAGGGTTGAAGGAGGAGCAGGAGTCAGGGATGAGTCAGACTTTACCGCGATAGAAGCTGGAAAGGTTAGAACCAAGTCAGGTGTGTCGCTGAGATGTGAGGTGAGCTGTAGGTTTGGAGGCAGACGGTCCTGAGCGATGGTTCTGTTTATCTGTGTGTAAAGAAATGGGCAACCAAGGCCTGAGGTGTATGTACGCCACATGAGGTCTTCATGTGTCCATCAATTCTTATCTTGTTAAAAAAAAAAAAAACACACTCCTTTGCACATATCAGTGTGGGAAACAACTTTGTTTAAAAGAAGTGACATTTAGTATTTTGTAATTTTCAGTAAATTGAATCAAAACGAACCACCACGCTCTGTGATTTATTTAAGAGCAAACAATGGCTCTAGGCGTCGCCACAGCTGCTAGGCTTTCTGAATTTTTAACAGGTGGAAGACAACTTTAAAATGAAACGTCAAATATATACAGCAGGCCTATATGTCAACATTTCATTCATTTCTGCAGAGAAAACTTAATTAAAATGTTACTTAAAATTAATTATTATTTAAGATATAAACCTAATTAGATTAGATTAGATTAGATCTAAAAATCTGACAAGATTAGAGCACAGTGAAGATCTGAACACAAGAGCCATTAAAACAAAAAGAGTTAATAGAACAAGGAAGGGAACCCTAAATTTGTTAAAAACAAGCCTATTAAGTATGTTTGATTTGTTAAAAATATGTTAAAAAACCTCCTCTCTGATTAATCTATTAAGGAGAAAGCTCCTGAATGTGATTACTTCAACCTAACTGATAGAAACATTTTGGTGCTTTTTATGAACAAGTTAAAAAAAGGTATGCCGAGCAGCACTGAGCGGGTGGGGCAACAGAGTCACAGGATGCTGTGGTCACACATGTGTTTGTTAGCAGCGCAGTAATAAGGCGTTTCCCACGCTGCACAGTGGCTTAGTGCTAACGCTTGCAGTACCAACACTGCCCCAGGCTGTTGGTTTAGCAACCGTCGCTGTGTCTGAGAATGTGTGTGTGTGAGGGTGTGTGTGTTGTGAGGAGCAGCTCCGTGAGGAATGTAGCACAGAGCCCCTCAAACCATTAGCAACCCGGAGGTCGCGAAGAGGGGTTCTGATCAAAATATCGTAAATCGGGATGGACCACATATCAAGGCTGAGTCGGTCCTGCAGTGCACCCAGTGCCGTCCCTCCTCTCTCTCCCCTCCTTTCCTGTCACTCTCTACTGTCACTATCCACAGAAAGCGTACTGCCAAAGGAAAAAGGTAATAAACGGCTGAAATAATAGAAGTAAAATAGTCCCTCAACTACTGTTGCCCTGCCCGTGAGCAAGGCAATAAACCACCAACTTTTCTCTGTCTGTCCGTCTCTTCCTGGGGCCCCTTCTGTTTGTCTGTGGTGTGATCCGACCATGCCTCAGGTCAATCCACAGAGTCATGCCGCAGTCTCAGTTATTGACCGTCTCAGCCCGTCTTAACTCCATTTCATTCTGCAGGCCTTCACTGATCCGCATACTGAGACAGATTTAAGCCCCCACCCCCCTTAAAGGCTTTTTTTTGTGTGTTGGGTAAATACAGATCATTGTTTTGTTTATAGTTCCACATTTCAGGTTCTCCAGACTGTCTGGTTACTTGCCTGCAGAGCAATAATGCAGACAGATGGATTTGGCCTTTTTTTTTTTGTCTTAACCCAGTTCTTTCTCCCTGTTTCTCCAGGTGGCACAGATGGTCTTCTTCCAGAAAATTCATTCAAAGGGTCAAAATATGAGTTTGGCAGCATTGGCTTGGCCCTCTACAGCGGCCTTTTTGCCTACGGTGGCTGGTGAGTTAACACATCCACCTGCCTGTGTGATCATGTTCCACTGCACTGCCCATTCATGATCCAGTTTCCAATTTAGGATCAGACAAATTCATCATTCATGATTAATTTGTTAGTGCCCCAATATGGCCGAAGGATGGAAACGAACATATAGAAACAATGGATCATTAGTCAATTAAATAGAAGACTCTCGAATGTTCACCAGGCCTACTTCCTAGATTGTAACTAGATTGTGAGTTTATTCCCCTGGGGATCAATGAAGTCTCTATGAGTCTCTATTTCTTTTCTTTTCTAAATAAAGGAGATTGTTTTGTGTAAAAGTTCCTAACTGGACAATGTCTTTGATTGTTGCTTACAGGAACTACTTGAATTTTGTCACTGAGGAGATGATTGAGCCTTACAAGTGAGTGTTAATAAGTGACTTGAATGCTTTTATGATCAAATACAGACTTGTCGCTAGTTGTAACTAAGAGTGTTTGTGTATCTTCCCCAGAAACCTTCCTCGTGCCATCATCATCTCTCTGCCCATTGTGACAGCAGTGTACGTTCTGACCAACCTGGCATATTTCACCACCCTCACCCCTGAGCAGATGCTCGGCTCACAGGCCGTGGCTGTGGTGAGTGCACACACTTTGAGCTACTTTCTTCGTATGAACAGTGCCAAACACAGCAGATACATTTTACTATTTAGTGACCTTTTAAGCTGAACACACAGACCCAGAGGTCATAAATGTTTTCCTCGTACATCATTGATTAGTTGCCTAAATCATAGCTCTGTGGCTTCCCTCTGGATATACTCTACTTTTACAACATGTAGAATTATTAGCAAAGTTAGAGCCAGCATTTCAAATGTCGACATTTCACTGTGGTCAGTATATTTAAGGTGAAGTAAAGCTGCACCAATGTATGGTTGTCAAATTCAACTTCAGCAAATGTATGCCACTGACCGATTGCAAAGCGTCTGAACAGTGTTTCAATGCTTTCTCTCTTTAAGACTTTCTGGTGTGACTGCATCTACTTTGCTACTTGACTTATTTACACATCTGTACTGTGTGTGTGTGTGTGTGTGTGTGTGTGTGTGTGTGTGTGTGTGTGTGTGTGTGTGTGTGTGTGTGTGTGTGTGTGTGTGTGTGTGTGTGTGTGTGTGTGTGTCCTCCAGGATTTTGGTAACCAACACCTAGGTCCGATGGCATGGATCATCCCAGTGTTTGTAGGTCTGTCCTGCTTTGGATCAGTCAACGGCTCTCTGTTCACATCATCCAGGTAACACACACACACATTTAGTCATTTGTGTGGAGTAACCAGGTTTGGGGAAACAGTCAGAGCTCAAAAACACAAAACATCAAGAATGTATCTGTTCATACCCAGTATCCATGTCGTTCCTTCCCCATCAGGTTATTCTTTGTGGGTTCCCGGGAGGGTCACCTGCCCAGTTTGCTGTCAATGATCCACCCCACCCTGCTGACCCCGCTGCCCTCACTGATATTCACTGTATGTACTCTAATTTACTGTACACTGAAACACAGATATCTTACAATGTAATTGTATAAATCTTTTTTAATCCTTTAAATCAGGAGGGGACCACTGCACTGTATTACAGTGGTGTAACTTGGATGTGATTGTATGTTGCTTTTATCTTTTAACTATCTTCAAAATTTTTATGAGCCTATCTAAGTGAGGTTCTGACAGACTTCTGTTATTGGAGCGGAGAGCAAAAAGGGGCGGGGCTTAGGAAGGAAAGCATTTTTTTATGGATGGAGTCTTTGTTGCAGGGCATCCTCAGCAACAGAGTTAGTGTGTATGTGTAAAGCACACAGCTTTACCAGAAAGAAGATTTGCATTGCTCTCCTAATTGCTTTTCTCTGTCCAGTGCTTGATGACACTGCTCTACGCCTTCTCCAACGACATCTTCTCCGTCATAAACTTCTTCAGCTTCTTCAACTGGCTCTGCATCGCCATGGCAATCGTCGGGATGATGTGGCTCCGTTATAAGAAGCCAGAGCTGGAGCGACCAATCAAGGTGAGCTTAACGTGATGGAGTCAACCAGTCAGAATGAAAGAAAGAAACAAGGAGTACTGGTGTGTGGGTATGGCTTGTTTCCCCCTCTGACTTTCTGATGATGATCATGGACAGACACACACAGACAGTGGGAGACAAGTGGACATGAAAGTCTTTGTCACCATCAGCTCCCACTCGAGTTAGCTTTGGCAGCAGGAAATATTTCTTCTTTGGCTCATCCAACCAACAAAGATCCATTCAGCAGAGCTCAGATGAATAGGGACTGATCGCAGATTAACAGACAGAAGAGAAGCTGGATGCTTGTCAGCTGGTGTTGAGGCCTGCTGGGTAGAAGTGTGTGAATGTGTGTGAGTGTGTGTACGTGTACGCACAAGAGGAAGAGCACTATACCTCCTGACTAAACCAGTTGCTGCAGGACTCTCCAACACACAGAAGACCATTGTGCCATTTTTGCACTTTGTTTGCATGTGAGTGTGTGAGCTTTCATGTGTGATGCTAGTGTGTGTGTCCCTTTTTTAGAGCCCTGACTTTACTCATCCGCCCGCTGGCACGCCGTTGTATTTTGGTTAGAGGCGGAGTCTGTTAGGGCAGTGAAGTGAAATAGGCAGATAGATCTGTTAGCCAGCACTCTGTGTGTGTGTGTGTGTGTGTGTGTGTGAGACTGAGTGGTGGGACAGTGGTGGCACTGTCTCTCTGCTGACCTCCATCCCTCTCTTCCACTCTCCCACTCTATTTCTTTCTCCTTTCTTTGTCTGTCACATTCCTGCTGTTCAATGGATTCGGCGCAGAGCTGCCAGACAATCACACAATTAGATGAACTAATTAATCACGTTGGTGAGGCATCAGCAACCTGGTAGATTCATAATATCTTCAGTATTCATTCAGTCTACATGGCCAAAAATATGTGGTCACCTGACCAGACTTCTCAGACTTTCTTTGAGGGCTTTCCACCAGATTTTGATGCCTGGCTGCAGGGATTTGCTTCCATTCAGCGACAAGAGTGTTAGCAAGGTCCAACACTGATGTCGGGGGATAAGGGCTGGCTCTTAGTTGGCAGTCCAGTTTATCCAAAAGGACTGATTAAACGGTGTACAGGTCAAGTTCTTTCATGCCAAACTCAGAAAGTGTCCATTTCTTTATGGACCTGGCTTTGTGCACAGGGGTGTTGTCATGGTGACACAGGAAAGGGCCTTTCCAAATCTGCTGCCACAAAGCTGGAAGCACACAGCCGTGGGATTAAGATGTACCTTCATCAGAGCTAAAGGAATATAGTCTTAATTATGAGAAACATCCCTTGACCAAAAGTTTACAACAGTATATGGGCACAGTCCTTAAAATGGCTACAATCTAGGGTTGGGTGATGTCTTCAAATTTCCCAGCCAGCCACTGCCAGCCCTACAACCGGCAGTTGCCACTAAAGTCGCATGTGTGCCCTGTGCCACCCGCTACCCCCAAATATTTCTCTCAAGAGTTGCTGGAGACCTAAACGACCTAAAAGGAGACAGAGCTACACTGACTTCACTGACATGTCTTTTCCAAATTCCAAATCTCTCTCTCTAATTTCTTTGATGGCTCTGCACAGTTACAATATTTAATACCATAACTGGGTCACTGAGGTCCTCTGGTGCGTGTACTTTGGTTGCACTTTGCTAAACCCTAGCTTAGCATAGAGACTGGGAATGGTAGCCTGGCTCTCCCCCAAGGTAAAAAAATCCAGCTACCAGAATGTCTAAAGCTCATTATTGAACAAGCATATTGTTTGATTAATCCAAAACAACAACAGTGTGGTTTTATCTGACTCTCAAGAAAGTCAAGAGAGTCAAGAGTGCGGTGGAACTGATGATCATGAATCTTCTCCCGGCAGGTGAATATTCTGCTGCCAGTGAGCTTCGTGCTGGCCTGCATCTTCCTCATCATCGTTTCCTTCTGGAAGACTCCAGTGGAGTGTGCGATCGGCTTCGGCATCATCGCCACCGGAATTCCCGTCTACTTAGTCGGCGTGTGGTGGAAGAGCAAACCCGAGTGGCTGCAGCATGGAATCTGTGAGTACAACACCTGTCTCTTCTCACGTCTGCCTTTCTCAGTTACTTCACCTGACACTGTGGTTAATCATCACTCTCTGTGTGTGTGTGTGTGTGTGTGTGTGTGTGTGTGTGTGTGTGTGTGTGTGTGTGTGTGTGTGTGTGTGTGTGTGTGTGTGTGTGTGTGTGTGTGTGTGTGTGTGTGTGTTTTTTGCAGTCTCGACCACAGTCATGTGTCAGAAGATGATGGAGGTGGTGCCTCAGTCCTAAAAGCCAGCGGCCAATCGGGTTGCACCAACCCTCTGACCTCTGGGCTCTGACATCACAGCTGATGAAGCTGGACCTCTGTTGACCCCTCTCAACCCAATCTCTCTCTCTCTCTCTCTCACACACACACACCCCCGTCTGCTGGGTGCTGATAAGGACCTGATGAAGACACACAGGCGATTTTTGGCCACGGTGTCTCAGCGGTCTTCAACTGTTTTCCTTTTGTTTCTTATGTTGCTGACATTTGGGTTGTCATTTGAGTATGGACTATTTTTAGTCACTAACAATCATTTTTCATAGGCTGTTGTGCATTGTCGTTTTTATGATGCATTTCAATGAATTTGTTGGGGTTTTTTTTTTTTTTACTGCTGTTATTTTGTGAATAAGTTCATGTAAAATATCCTCCCTCATCAGAACCCTGTTGTATTTAACAAGCTGTGCCTTATGTGGCAAATGAAGGCGTACCTGTCAGGTATGGCAGTTGCGGTTGACGGAGGCTGCGGTCAGCCCTGGCACTGACCTGCAAACAGCTATAAACGGAGCTCTCTCAAGAGTCAAACCTTTGCAACCAGGAGCTTTTAAAAAAAAAAAAATCCCGGAAGAATTTAATTTCAATCTCCTGCAACCAACCTTTGCTTTCAAGTAGAAGTTGGAGGTTAGCTTAGTCAGATATTCATGAGACTTCGCATTGGAAACCTGTGGTCCTGCAGTATTTACAATTCTTCTAAAAGTATTGTGTTGTTGCTTGCTGGTCGACGGTGCGACATTTCGGTCACTGTAATGTCCGTTACCACTCAGTGTCTGTCTGTCTGTTGACTTTTAGCCCTGCCCTTTGTTGTTTTTTGGTGACCCGGTCTGGTTTTAAAGTCGTCTATGCTGCTGTAGGAAGTGAGTGAAGATGAATGGAGATCTTGGTGTGTTACAGATGTTTCCAATTTTTACATTGAGACTGTTGACAAATGTCTCCTGTAGGCCGTGTTCAGCTTTCATTAGACAGCTGAATTATACACATGCAGATAGGTAGTCAGTAATTTAATGTTAGTTAGTATCTATGCTCAGTTGTCGGGCTAACTAAATTGCTCAGAGCGAGTAGGAAGTTTTCTGTTAAGTCATGTTTTTTGTTCAAAGCCTACCTACATATTTCTGTCTCAAGCATTACACTGGTGGTAAACATGATCCAGTATAGTTATGTCACCTCACAGGATTTCTGGGTATTGGAGTTTAATTGCTATTGAAGTTGCATTGCTCTTTAAATCGTCCTGTGGTCAGACTGAGGGTGCTGCATATACCGGAATGGGAAATTGTATTGTGACCATCGCTGAAAAGTGGGTCAGAATTCAAATTATGTGCTTTTTTCCTGCTGTTGATTATTTTTTGGGTCAGCGATCTCAATTTCACTGGGGATCAATATCTCAGTGTATTGAGCCGGCTCACAGAGCTCCGTTACATGACACTGACAGTGTTTTTCTTTTTTTTAAGAGACAGTATGAACTGTTTTTATTTCTCATCCTCATGTTTTGTTTTTACACGTTCACGCACAGCGACAGTTATAACTGTATTATTAACGTCGACCCTCCTCCTGGCAGCGGACCAAAAGTAAATGTCACTGCGGGGGCGTTGTTTCCGTAGAGACACAGTGTGAGCGCTGTAGAGGCTGTGGAGTTGTTGCCATGGAGACAGCGCTGGTGGATGTAGGAGGGGCTAATGTGTATGTTTTAGAGGTAGAACCTTTCTAACACTCCAGCCATCGCACGAAGCCGATGGGAAACTAACCTGAATAGGACTGTAGAAAGTTTATTTATTTATTTTTAGGAAACTTTGTTGTTCATTGTTATAAGTCCTTCTAATTTGTTTACAGGGCATTTTGTGGAAAGTGCTTTACAAATAAATCTTGAGTTTTTTTTCCACTCTTGTGTTCTGTTGTGTTTAGTTTTGGTCTATGTTTTGTCTCATCTGTTCTATATTATTTATTTTATTTTATTTTTATAAATGGGGCTAAGAGAAATATAATACTGGACTTCCATTCATCATATAGCCAGAAAGACTCCAGATTTATGCTAATGTGTCTGCTGAATGTGTAAACGGCTAATTGTTTGCTAACATTTTAGCCATAACAGCTTTACAAGCTGATTATACCAATATTTTTCTACAGCTTGTTGCACTGCCCTCAAGTGGCCAGAATATTTAATGCAGCTTTGAGGAAGATGAGAAGATGAAAATTCTTTCATTTCATAGCCTCAGTGTGTAAAAAAGATGACAGGCACTGCTGTCTACAGTGAATCTGATTGAAATAAGTAGGAAAAAGCATTTACAGCATCAAATATTACAGACATCTTAATATCGAGTTTCTGATTATGTTGTGTGAGCTTAATTCTTGTTATTTCTTTAACTCCTTTATGGATTTAACTGATTTAAAAAACAAAATTACTAGGGGCTAATAGTCTTGACCCGCCTCACGAGTGAACTTTATAATCATTTGAACCAGAGTTAATATAGTTTTGTATTTTTCATTGGTTTTTATTTTTATTTTGTTCTTAATTTCTGTCTTCAATTTAGTTTAGTTTCAGTTATTACAATATAGTTTTTGTGTTTTTCTTTGTCAAGGGCAAGATTTAAGAAGTTTAGAATATATATTATAATACAAACAAGTTTTAGTTTACTATAATAACCTGGAACTCTGTGTGATTAGTTATAAATACAATTGCCAGTGGAGTTCCTTTAGTGTGCAGGCAGGATGAAAGACAAGACACACCCTGCACAACGTACCAAAAAATAAATAAATGCACTGGAGTATGAACAGTTTACCCTGAACAATTGCACGTTTACATTGTAAGTCTTATTAAGTCTTTAAAATGTAACGGATGTCAAAATCTGCACCACAGAAAAACAAACAATTCAAACAATGGGCCTGTACTAGAGAATGCCCTCTTACTGTAAGTGGTGCCAAAAACAACACGCTGCGCTAAAACATTAACTCGATGACACCAACTTGAACACAACACTGGACCTCTGCCAAAAAGCCGTCAGCTGTGTACTTAGACTGGCTTCTGTCCTTTACCTATCCGTCCATAACTGTTTGCCTTCGTTTATATGAAATTGACAGGTGTAACACTACCAGGCCTAAACAGCGCCAGAGTGGCCGCTGCATTAGATGTGTAAAGACGAGTATGTGAGAACAGGAGGAAGGACGTAGATGCCCACAGCCATTAACAGTGTGATTTAGTTGTACCCTTTTGTCTGTGCTTTCTAGACTGAACATTGCCCCAAGTATACATTTCACATTTTGGTCTAGACGTTTGTAAAATCCAATCTTGAGATCCATTATCCTGGATGAACTGTGTCTGTACGATTCAGTGGCATCCTGCGGTGAGGTTGCAGATAAAATGTGAGAGGCTCTATCTAGAGCCAGTGTTTGGTTTGTCCATTCTGGGCTACAGTAGAAACATGGTGGACTCCGCCAGAGGACCCACTCTGTAGATATAAACGTCTCATTCTAAGGTAAAAAAAAATGAGAACGATCAGATGATTATACTCTAATAAAAACATATCTATGAATATTATATTCAATTTCTGCCAATAGATACTCTAAAATCTTACACACTGCACCTTTAACTCCAGTTTCACTTGGAACATTACTGTGAACATCACTGTGGTCGGTGCCTACAGGAGTATAACTGTCAATCTGCCTCTGTAGCTTCCAAACCACAAACAGGAGGGAGGAGCCAATTATTCTTTTTTTAAAGGGTTAGATTAGCAAAGGGTGTCCGCTAAGTGCTTTTCTGTTCTTCAAGCCTTACTCTGCCTTCAAATGCTCTTCTCACACTCGTCCTCAGTGCTTTGGTACTCCACCATCTATCAAAGACTAGCAAGCAGTCGGAATTTCCTGCACCCCACTCCTGTTCCCATTTGTAGGTCACAAATGAATGGATGTGGAATGCCAAAGCCAATGAATCGCCTTGTCCTCAGAACCTGTACTATGCAGATGTAGCCATTGTAAGAGTTCCCCTGTAACCCTACAGCACAATAGAAACAGCTTGCTGCCTTCTTTCTGCTGAGGAGGGATAATTGCAAACACTATGAGTTCTGTGGTACAGTATGAGCACTTTAAAAGCCTGTAAAAGTTTAATTTCAGATAATTAACAAACAAATACAATGCAGTGAAGTCAGTTGTTCTATGACTACACTGATCTGGATTAAAAATGTGATGAGAGCATGAGAACAGAGAAACATTCAACCACTGTGCTGCTGCTGCTTTTATTTTTCTTTCCTTTTTTTTAAATATTTGTATGACTTTGTATTTCTTGTTTTTATTCTGGAGAACAAAAATAAAGACAGAACAAGATAAAAGCAAATTGTGTTTCTCTCATAGTATCCATTAAAAGTACCAGTAGACACTTCACATTCGAAATGAATTTTTAACACAATAATCAGGGAGTGTTTAATTTAGATTTGTAGGACCAGTGTGTAGGATTTAGCGGCATCTAGTGATGAGGTTTCAGATTGCAATTAACTGAACACCATTGCTGTCCGTATTTGATGACCTAGGAATGAGAATGGGCTGTGAGGTGTGAAGGAGAAACTACGGTGGCCACAAAAACACAAACCGCCCTATCTACAGCCAGTGTCTGGTTTGTCCGTTCCGGGCTACTGTAGAAACATGGTGGTTCAACATGGTGAACCTGCAGCATCTCATTTTAAAACGACTCATTCTATTTTCCTATTTTCAGGTGATTATACTCTAATGAAAACATACCTATTAATATTATATTCCATTTTTTCCAGTAGATCCTCCTGAATGTGACACACTGGACCTTTAATATACCTGTCCATAATATGAATAATGATGTGTACTGGCAGTACACAGTGAAAGTGGGACTCTGTAAGGTTGGTTGCTGAGGTAAACATGACACACAGCTGATGAATGTTCATAGACCCAAACAAGCTAATCCTCTGAAGTATTCAAAGCATTCAGTGCAGCCTGGGGTGGAGATAGATGACTGATCCACAGTCAGTTTTACAGCATCATGGTAAAGGTAAGGTGTGAGGACGGGAAAGCTGAATTTAGGACTTTTTGTTAATAGTTTCAACACTCGCATATCTTTTTCAATTACGAACAAATATGAACAATGAACAAATATATTCAACTGATGAGAAATGTGAGTTTTTGGCGATTAGACCCCCACCATTAGTAGGCCTATAGTAAATCCCCTAATGGAGTCTAGAAGTGTACATAGATGGGCCAGTCACTTTCACCGGCCTATTAAAAAACCTTTTCTAGCTATCAGTAATGACACATTTTAAACAAATGTAAATTAATAAATAGCTATGTTTATTATTTAATTTTAAAAATATATATATATATTTGCATAAACCAGACTACAGGGACACTTGAGCATGTAGACAATAAGTGGATTTTATGGGGTATTTTTTACCCGTGCGTGGAAGTGTAAAGTACAAAGGTAGTGTCAGAATGTAACCAGTCTTTCTCTCAGATTGCGAGAATGTTTGAACGTGATAAATGTAACAGCGATAAAGGAATCCTTTTAGAGCACATGTCAGTGTTTATTGATACTCTGTCAGAGGAGAACACTCCTGAAAGTGATCTGTGAGGAAGTAGTGGTAGCTCTTGCTTTCTTAACAGACATTCTCTCTCTGTATGTAGGGCCCTGAAGAGGTATATGCTGTGGGGTAACTCCTATGCTGGAAATGCTTTTTCATTTCACAAGCTTTAAAGTAGAACTCTGTAGCTGAGAGGCATCTGATCCGGCTCACTGTAAAAAAAGGTCTGTATATTTTACAGTAAAAAAATCTATCAAACCATGACAGTAAAAGACTAAACTAATAAATAGGTTAAATACAGTTTCTGTAACAGTAAAATACTGTCATATCTCATGGCAAAACTTTTTTTAATATAGCATTGATATAATATTTTCACATGAAAAAATGGTTTCTTTTAGTTGTAAAAACTTGTTTTTATACTGTAAAATATGGAATAAAACTCAAACTTTAACTGTAAAAGCAACAGTACTAATATTCATTTACCGTAATAGTAAAAAAGTTCTATAGTTTTTTTAACATAAAAATAAATTATTTGTTATTAATTATATTATTATTTATTGTTTGTGCATACTGTTAGAAGATGTTCAGAGAGCCCTGTTTGAACCATTAAATCCCTGTACCACACACACCAACAGAGCCTAATGAGGACTTGAAACCATGGCAGTCAGAAACTGTATGTTACTCTGAAAGAGTGTTTTAGGAAATTGCGGTATAGAGGTGGTTGCTGCAGGTTGCTGCAACATTTCACAGAGAGGCCTCAGCTAACCTCAGGGTCCCTGCCTGTCTCTCCTCAGGACAGAGCTAGCCAACTGAGGGTTTCTTCAAACAGCCTGAGAGATACTTATTTGAGAGCTGGTCATGAGTCCGTTGTTGGAAGAATACCTACATGTGCATGTGTTGTTTGTGTAGGCATAAGGGTATACACGCCCCAGTTATATTGGCTCAAATGTCTGTGGATCCAGCTGGAGTCCTTGTTATATTGGCTCCTTTACTTACAATGTTGGTTGTATATGTTAACAGGAAATAAAGCTTGGAAAGCAATGGAATTTCTCATTGTATATCAACACATTATGAGGGAACGTTGGACCTCACTGAAATTAATCTTCAGTTGAATTTTGATTGTCTTTGTATTTCCCATCCAATCTTGGATTAAAATGCATCTGCAGACATAGGCCTGCTGTTTTATAGCCCTGCCTCTTGGATCAGTGAAGAAGAAAAAGTCTGTAAATCTGCCTAACAATGATCTGATGAAAGATGAATGCCTCGCCTGAACAAGTTTCTGTAATAAGAAAGACTAAATCCCAGGAAACAAGTTGAGGAATTTGAATAATCTTCAATTCCAAGACAT